AAAGAGACTAAAATACAATTTTCATTGACTAAAACTAGACTAAATGTCATCAGTTTTCGTCGACTAAAACTAGACTAAATGTCATCAGTTTTCGTCGACTAAAACTAGACTAAATGTCATCAGTTTTCGTCGACTAAAACTAGACTAAATGTCATCAGTTTTCGTCGACTAAAACTAGACTAAATGTCATCAGTTTTCGTTGACTAAAACTAGACTAAAATGCTCAGACTTTTAGTTGACTAAAACTTGACTAGACTAAAAAGAGTATGAACATGACTAAAACTAATAAAAACTAAAATGACAGTTTCACACAAAGACTAGACTAAAACTAAAATTAAAACAGGCCGCCAAAAACAACACTACTTTAAACCATATAACAGCATCTGTTGCTTGAAATAAAATAAACATTAACTGAAATAAAATACAAAAAAACTTTAAAAATAAAATAAACTTTGAACGTATTTAGTTTAACTTGATGTATTAAAATAAAACTGAAATAAAAATGTAAATATATAGACATTTTAAAAAACAATAACTAATAAACACAAAATTGCTGAAAATATAAAATATTTAAAAAAACTCTTATGGTTTCTCAATGATACTTTGTCATTGATATATTTATCAGTGTCCTGTAATGTTACTGAATTGATGGTAAATGTATTTGTTGTGTGTTTTCTGCAGGTCGAAAGCTCCGAGGGAAAGCCTTTTACTACGTTTATGGGAAAGTGTTTTGTGAAGAGGACTTCCTGGTATGCTGTCTTCCCCTCTTCTTTTTATGGGGTTTTCATGGCTGAACATGTCTTGAGACATGTCTTACAGTCATAGCTCATAGTTATGTCAGAAGAATTTGTCAACTCATCTAAAGCATATCTTTAAAGGACATGAGGTGTCAGGTTTCAAAACATGAACCTGGCTATGAGTTCACCTTAGCTCGACTTGGCTCAATCGTTTAAAAAGTAGACCAGTGGGTTTCAGCGGTCTGAGATGTTTTTATTTTGGATTTAATATAGGGCTGCACGATAAATCGCATGCGATATTTAACGCGCATCTTGTCAGTAAAGCCATTCTGTAATCAGCGGTAAATCTCCATCACCTGCGGGCTTTCACATGGAGCAGCATTAACTGCACAGAGCCGTTGTTCACCGACAAGCTGCGCAAAACATGCGCAAAATATGATCGTGGTTTTGCGCAGCTTACCACGTTTGTTTAGTTAATGCTGCTCCATGTGAAAGCCCGCAGGTGATGGAGATTTACCACTGATTAAAGAACCGGCTTTACTGACAAGATGCGCGTTAAATATCGCATACGATTTATCGTGCAGTCCTAGTTTAATACAAGAAATTGATTATCAGCAAAGCAATTTGAGTAAAATTCACACGACTTGAAGAATGTCTCAGTATTTGAGAATCTTGAGCTTCAGTGGAAGCAAGAAAATCTGACAGTTTCTACATAATCAGTGTCACGGATTTGTTCATTTCATTTGATCAGTAATCTGGAAATAAATGACATTTCTTCAATAAATGCGATAGCTTTTCTCTTTGTTTTAAAATTTTCAGAATCCTAAACCTTTATTTCAATGGAAAAAATAGACTTTTACATTCAGCTGTTAAATGTTTTGTGCATATAATTGTGTAGTGTAGAGAGGTGGTTAGGTTTGCCACATTCATGTATGTATTGTGTAGCTGTTTGAAAATAAAATTACTGCTGCATTTTCCTTAGACGAGCAAAAAAAAAAAAAAAGCTTTTTAAAAACATTTCCAGCTCTTATAAATGGCTTAAAAATTGTGCATAAATAGCTTTAAAAGCAAATTAACTCGGAGAGTTGGGAGGGTGCTTCAAATGAGGTGAAACCGCATTCCAGACAAAAAAAAATACAGTTTGTGTTATTATTTGAATGTTCTTAAATTAGAGAAATTATTATATCGGAGTTGTTAATGTTGTGTGGGTTTGAGAAAATGAAGTGACGGAAAGGAATGAGAGTCCGTTGAAAAGCTCACTTCTGTCCTCGCTCTTGTCTTTAATAGTATTCTGGGTTCCAGCAGTCTGCTGACAAATGCAATGTGTGCAGACATTTAATCATGGACATGGTGAGTCTGATGTACCTCCACAGCCTGCATTAGTCACAATATCACATGACTGAGAATCTCACACTACAGAGCTTGAAGGAATCGGTTGGGTTTCATTTGTACAGCTACCTTATTATACAGTGCTCCTTAACATAGATTTTGCTAGATGTACAGTAATACAGATGTAAGATCTTACATCTTATATTAGGTGTCTTTAACTACTATGTACTCGCATCAAAAAATTAATTGTTAGGTACAATGTACTTATTGTGTTCACGTTTCACTGCAATACATTTGCTGGATGTGGTTCAGGGACTGGTTTTGTGGTATGGTTCGTTTTAAGATGTAATTACATGCAGGTATTTTTTAAATGCAAGTACAATTTAAAACATGTATGTATACAACATTATTATCGTAAACTAAAACCATAAAAAGATTTAATAATAAATGAAATTATATATATATATATATATATATATATATATATATAAGTAAAGACAAACATTTTATTTCAGCTTGAACTTATTTTTAGTTTTAAGTTTATGTACTAAAATAACAAACTAAAATTAAAATTAAAATTTATAAAAACTATATAGACATTACATCAATGAATAACATTTTATTTCAGCTAGTGGCTAGGCTTGCCGCGATAGATGGTGCTGACGGTGATACCGTTGTTAAGCCGCAACACCAGTTACGTCACTTGCCCACTGCGGCACCGACCCCCACCGTCGTTTAGATTTTTTTATAGTAATAAATAGGGATGCACCGATACCGATACTGGTATCGGTATCAGGCCCGATACTGAGCTCCTGTACTCGTACTCGTTAAAATGCCCCGATACCAAACGCCGATACCACAATGCATGT